AGAGAGAGAGAGAGAGAGAGAGAGAGAGAGAGAGAGAGAGGGAGGGAGGGAGAGTATTAACCACCACTGCTGAGAGTTGCAGTGGCGATGGCGGGATTTCATAGGCCTTTTGCATCAGAACTCGAAGCCATCAGAGTCGAATTTCCACCAAAGATTGACGACAAAGAACATGCCAATAGAGGTGGAGATCGACAATTTTTTCTCTATACCAGAGAAACTTAACAGAAATGATCATGAAGGACCGGAACCCTTTCTTTGAGTTCTTAGAGAGAGAGAAAGATGGAAGAATGGGATTTGAGAGATTTCCGATGACATCTCCATGGTAGGGTTTCTTCAAGTTCTCACAATCGTCGTCTCCCTTCTCATTCGATGGCAATGAAATATGAAGGATACGATTTGCCATTATTAAAATTATAAAAGATATTTTAGAGTTTCGGTCAGGTCTAAAACGCATCTGATCGCGTTCAATGCCTGGGTCAAAAGTTTAAGATCTGAAAGTGGCATTCAAATAACTTTAAAGACATGACTCCAAACGCCTATTACCTTCGAAAAGTAAGTTTTTCAGAGTTAAGAGGCAATAAAAGGCAATACAAAATTAGAAATTTATAGTTGGGATGGAAGCAAGAGATGGTCAACGACCCCCTCTAGCCAAAACAGTCGTGACAAACGTACTCTCAAAAACTTCATCAAAGCTACTAAAGAAGGCTAGCATAGAACAAACTCTCACAACCCCTCTCTCTCCTTCAACTTGCAGAGGATATAGGTGGCAATAGAGACAAAGATTACAGACAAATTGAAGTCTTCTTTTTCTTGTCCCAAAACTTGAAATATACACACACGCAACCCGTGCACACACACACATGAATAAACTACTTTCGTTGTGCTAAGCCATGGAGCGTGTCGTGCTGTGTCATAGGCTAAAATCCCTTGGCCCAGCCTAGCCCAAGGGTTTGTACCATGCAAGGTTTAAAGTATCGGAAATTCCAAGTGTATCGGAAGGCAATTTTAAGATACGTATCGGGATACGTCTTGGATACACATGCATATCAAAGAAAAACTAAGATACACATTAATACACTTGGAAACACTATAAATACTTTAATAAATCATAAAGATACATCAACAACACTAAATTTAAGACCTCAATAAGGAGTATATACATTAAATTAATATATTTTAATGGTTTTATGAATAAATATATTATAGCTAATTATAATTTCATTAAAAATCCTATCCTTAACTATAATTTATAAATTATAATTCTTAAGTTTTAATGTTTTATGGGATGAGAAAAAAACCAACTCTCCTATCCAACAATAAAACATGCATTGGCACAACTTCTATGTGAAAATATAATTAACAATTATTTATTGTTTAAATAATTACTATTTATTATTCATTTCCAAAAATTATAAAAAATAAATAAACATTATATAATATATTCAAAAATARTTATTAAAGAAGAAATTTCAATTGTGGATATGATAGATCATCCATATAATTATAATATATTCAATCATTATGATCAAATGATAAAATATAATTAATTAATTTTTAATTCTAAAAATRATAATTATTATATAAGAAATTTCAATTGGTCTATGGATATGATATATCATCCATAGAATTATAATATATTCAATTGTTACGATCAAATGATATAATATAATTAATTATTTTTTATTTTTTATTTCTAAAAATATAAAAAATCAAAATAAAATAAAGAAGAAATTTCAATTGCTCTATGAATATGATAGATAAATCCATAGATCTAAAACATATTTAGTCTTTATAGGTAGAGAAAAAAACTTACATTTTCAAATTTTTTKTTAATTTATATTTTCCCCAAATATCTTCATGAAATTTCCATAAATTTACTGATAGCACAAAAAAGTTGTGATTTTGAATGTATGAAATGTAGATCAACATAAATTTAAACATTTACGGAAAAAAAAAGAAATCACAAGATATTATAAAAGATTGAAAAATTTTACCTATTTTTGCCATATTTTTTCAAAATTTGAAAAAAAAACTTTAAAAAAAATTAACAATTCACACTTGTTTCTTGCAAAATTTTGCAAATCTAGCACTATAGGAATGAAGTTTGGAGTTTTAGAGTCATATGGGGGTGAAAGAAGGCTTATTTTGGGGAAAAGAAGCTTGTTTTTCCCCTTAAATCTTTTTTAGTTTTTGATCATATCTTTTTCGTCGATACGTTACCGATACGCCTCGATAGGAGTCTGATACGCATGAAAAAAGACGAAACGTCCAATTTCCATGTGTATCCTATGTCAGTTTTTAAAAGATACAATACGATACACCCCGTATTAGGCGGATCATATCGAAATTTTAAACCTTGGTGCCATGCCTAGCATGGCCAGTAATTGTAGCTGGTGGGCTATGCCAGGGATGGCATGATCCGTGCCAGCTGCCCAACCC